TATCTGAGGTCGACCTCGCACGCAGAGTCCACCTCTTCTGCAACCGTTTGCATAATCGAAACATGATACGACTGTCCACCAACATCGAAGGTGAAGTTCCACAAACACGTTGGCAGAAGAATCCAACACAAGCATCGAGAACTCGGGCATACGACTCAAAGGTTTGAACGGAACCTTGAGGAACCATGTTGTGCGGAAAGGCTGCATGTCAGGAGGTAACTGCGTACGGCGGCAGCTTTACCGCGCTCAAATCTTGTGCCCCACAAAACGCTTCGGTGCTAAAGTTGCACGCAGCAGAGTCGTGCGGCATCGCTTCGCGAAAAATTTCGCGCCAATCGTTTCTCCTGCCCTTCTTCTTCTTCTTCTTTATCTTCGCCATTGTTCCGCGGGTGCAGGGTCGGCGGTGGTGCATTTTTGCTTCCATTTGACTCGATCAGCTGCTTCTTGTGGTAGCTTTGCAATGTGCAGGTCGTTTCGAATGGTGTCCAACCAGCGTTGCTTCGGACGGCCACGTGGTCTCTTCCCCTTTGGATCTAGACGAAGTGCTGTTTTTGCTACTGCATTATCTTCACTTCGTAAAACGTGACCATACCATCGTAATCTGGCACCTCGCATCTTATCCGCGATAGGTGCAACTCCGAAAATGTGTCGTACATCATCGTTCGTGACGCAGTTTCTTCTCGTTAGGCCAAGTATCCATCTTATCATTCGCGTCTCCATCGTGCTCAGGATCTGCTCGTGTTTTCTGGTTGCTGGCCAACATTCGGCTCCATACAGTGCGACTGGCCTCACCACAGTCCGATACACTTTCGACTTGAGATACAACGGAATTCGTCGGTCGCAGAGTACTCCTGTTACTTGCCGCCATTTTAGCCACGCCGCGTTCGTCCTAGCACGAGCATCAGTGATCGTGTCGCAATCCGACGTCACTCGGGAGCCCAGGTATTTGAATATCGTGACCTTCTTCAGCGGCTGCCCATCGATGCTAATTGTGCCATCGGTTTGCTCTCCGCATTCCAGGTACTCGGTCTTTGCTACGTTCAGTCGTAGGCCATATTCCGCTAATCGTGTCTTTCATCTCACAGTCGCCTCTTCAAGCTCTTGTCTCGATCCGCTTGCTAGCTCGACGTCATTTGCGTAAAGGAGCGTCCACGGAAGCGGCAGCTGGATGTCCTTGGTCACCGTGTCCATGCACAGTATAAAGAGAAGCGGTGATAGAGCCGATCCTTGGTGTACTCCGACTTGGATTGGGAATGGCGTTGACGTTCCCACTGCACAGCGTATGGCGCCCGTCGTGTTCGTATAGAGGAGTTTGATCCAGCGAACGTACTCTTCTGGGACGTCATGTTGTCTCAACGCATACCAGATCAGCCCGTGTGGTATCCGATCAAATGCCTTTTCTAAATCAAGGAATGCGAAATGAATCGGAATCCGTTTCTCCAAATGCCTTTCCATTAGCAATCGTACCGCGTGGATGGCGTTGATGGTGCCAGATCCTTTTACAAAGCCGCATTGATTCGGGGTGGCCTCCACTATACTTCGAATGCGTGCGTCGATGACTCATTCGAAGATCTTCATCGTGTGGCATAGCAAGCGTATTGGTCGATATGTTGAACAGTCGCTGACGTCGCCCTTTTCTTTCCAGATAGGGACTGTAACACTCGTAGTCCAGATTCGCGGCAACTTTCCGTCTACGATAATGCGGTTAAAGAGCGATGTGAGATATGTCGCTCCACGCTGCCCCATCATCTTCCACACTTCAGCAGGATGTCGTCGGATCCCGGAGCTTTTCCGCTAGACATCTTCCTCAGTGCCTGCACAACTTCTGCCTCCTCGATCCGAGATACCGGTCCAAATGTGGGGGCTCCTTGCGGTACTAACGGATGCGGGAACTCCTCATTAAATAGCCCTTTGTAGTATTCACTCCACCGCTTGAGTATTGCCCTCGGCTTCGTCAAAAGGTTGCCCTCTGCGTCCTTAATGTGCATGATGTGGTCGATGTCCTGCTTCGCTCGATGTCGTGCAGCGGCCAGTCGGTAGACCATGTTCGCTCCAGCACGTCCTTTCAGCTCGTCGTAGAGTCTCTTGTAGTGTGCTTCCCTTGCTTCGGCTACCGCGTGCTTCGCCTTCGAGTTCTGCTCTCGATGTCGACGGAGGTTTTCATTTGAGTATGAGCGTTGTCAGGCTTTGAAAGCTTCTTTCTTCTCCTTGATCACTTGCTGGACTGACTCAGACCACCACCAGATCTGCTTGTCTACAAACCGGCGTCCTGGCTTGGTGGCTACCAAAATTGTCTCGGCCCTCTATCGTATCTGCGAAGTAATCCGATTCCATTGCTCTTCAATCGACTCCTTGTCATCCGTCGACACCCTCAAATCGTTAAGAGCATCTCTGACTTGCTGGCGATGTTCGGGAAGCTTCCACCATTTGATCCTCTTTGTGGTCGTCCTTCTGGCTCGTGAACGTAAGTGGATGTTCAGTTGAAGATCCAATACGAGCAACCGGTGTTGTGGCGCAAATGCATGTGTCGCCGTGGGTATAACCTTCGCGTTCATCACCATCGGCAAATGGCATCGGCGCAGCATCCAGTAGTCGATCTGAGTTGAGCGGTCTCCACTCGCGTACGTGATCAAATGTGATTTCCGCTTCTTGAAAAATGTGTTCGCTATAGCCAAGTCGTGTGCTTCTGTGGCTTCCAGGATGCGTTCTCCATCTTCATTCCTCTGACCGTATCCGTTTCCACCATGATATCGCTTGAATCCATAGTGTTCGTGGCCAACGTGCCTATTGAGATCGCCTCCTACGAAGATGTAGTCTGAAGCGTCAAATGTCCTTAGCAGGATGTGGAAGTCCCTCCAAAACACGTCCTTCTCGGCTTCGGTACATGCGGCTTGCGGGGCATAACACGAGACTATTCGAAGCGTGGCATCATCTGCTTCGATCTTCATCGCCATCAATCTATCTGAGATGCGCGTCACTTCGGTCACTAATTCGGGGTATCTACCGCTGACGATGATCGCGACTCCGTTCTGGCGGCTGCTATCTCCCGTGTAGTATAAGCGATATCCGTCGCCGATGTCCTTAGCCTGCCTCCCTTTCCATTTCGTTTCCTGTACACATGCGATGTCGACGTGTCGCTCCTTCAGCCTATCGCATCGCATAGCTCCCGACTGCGGCTCGTCAGCGTTCCTATATTAATCGTCGCTAGTCGGATTTCCTGGACTCGCTTCTTTGGCCTGCCTCGTCCGGGGGCAGGTAGCCCTAGCTCACTATTCGCGCCATGCGGGCAATGACGCGCGCTCCGGAGAACGCCCTAGCAGCTTGACAAAAATCCTTAATAGTCCGATGCATGTGACAGGACTGATTCGTACAGTCCCCGGCGCGTCGCTCCGCCTGACGGGACAGTGCCCTCGTCGTTTGCCGGGGTTGATCCCCGTTGCCAGCCGGCACCGCGGGGAGGTGACGATGGGACTTTGCCGGCCAATCGTTTCTCCCGCCCGTTCCTCGGAAAAGTCCTCAGCTTGTCATGCTGGCAATACAAAAATGGCCATTACAACGTCTGCTCTACCAGGAAGGTTCCATGCCTGGTGGAAGTTCAAACGCCCCCACGGGGATACAACGAACTCTGTTTCAACTCTGTGCCAATCTTTTGGTCGAAACTGCAACTCCTCAATCAGCCAAAAGCACTGACAGATAAATCTTGAAGGCAGTGTCCGGGCGGAAAGTCGATTTTGAGATTTTGTGCTTACCCGGGCCTATTCGCTAAGCTGAATCCGAAAATTCACACTAGAAAGTGCAAAAACGGCAAAGGACTCTAATGCAGGAGGGAATTCAGAAGTGGGTGGGGTTCTCCTCACTGTGATTTCACGCTCCCAGCTTCCGGAGCGATCTTCGCGGTTCCGATTTCAAGTCAAGCGTTCGCACTTGGCCGGTGGAGATGTCAGTGCGCTAGCAAAATCGAGAAAATCGCTCCGGAAGCTTGGAGCATGAAGTCAGAGGAAGACCTCCTGATTCCCCTCCTACGTTGGAATCCTTTTTCGCCGTTTACGCACTTTCTAGAGTGGATTTTCAAAATCAGATAGCGAATAGGCCTGGGTGAGCATAAAATCTCGAAGTCGACTTTTTGCCAGGACACTGCCTTTAATAGTCCAACAGAGAACTTTGAAAAATACCACAATCATGTCAGACCGTATATGAACCACCAAAACTGCGCTGACTCGAAACTGTTCACCAAACTTCTCATTGGAAACGCACACAGCTGGCCAATGGGGCACTAATTTACAATGCATTATGCACAGTAAAAGATCAGTCATAAAATTCGGTCAAGACAACCTATAGTACCAGCAAAAGATGAAGATTAAGATTATTCCAAACCTCAGTACTAAGTGAGGATTTGCAATGCAGTGCAAACACCACCTCTACACCTACTCATAATTGACTGCTCAAACAGCACAATGCCAACAGATATGGCTTCCTCTGCTCACAAGGGAATGGTCAGAAGTCGAAGTGGAAAAACCAAACAGGCTGTACACCATTCGATGCAGTATGAAACGCTGACTTCGAATCTGCCTTCCTTATCTGCTTATCGCTTCTGTGGACAAAGCTATAAGCATTTTTATTGGGAAAATAGTACATAAAAACTGCGAAAGTGAGCACATTGTTGCAATTTCAGCTCAGCTTTAGGCTTTAAGAGTTTGAAGTAAGTTGGCTGCATGTTTTGGCCCAGCATCATGCCGAACGTGGCTCTGTGCCGAATTTTCACTTTCACGCATAATTTCTAAGCAAAATATTGGCCTTTAATGGCTTATAGCTTCGTCCAGAAAAGCGATAAGCAGATAAAGAAGACAGATTTAGAGTCAGCGCTTCATACTGCATCTAACGGTATGCGGCTTGTCTGGATTAGCCACTACGATATCTGACCAATCCCTTGTCAGGACGATGCTTCTCATTAGAATGATGGCTTTGAAAGCTCTCTAAAACGAGCATCGATAAGTCAAAAGTTCGGTAAATAACTTTTATTCAGGATAACTCCCAATAAAGACATATTACCATGAAAATAGTGCTCTACTGTGTGTATGAGAACATCTAAACTCGTAAACCAATCAATGAGAATACATAGCTAAATAGATTAAAATAGTTGTTTATGCCACGTCCCAGATGCGCCGAACTTCGCAGGGTAATGAAAGAACGGTGCAGTAACGGTTGCAGCCGAAGGGTGGAGCAGTGAAAGCTGGACACCTCTACAACTGTAAAGTAAAGCACGATATTGTTGTAGCGATTCGACGACGATTCAGTCATGTTTGATACTACAAAGACAGCAGTGGCACTAACTGTAGCACCAGCAGCGTCGAGCAAAAGCAATGCAATGCATAAAAAAGCAAGATCGAAAACAACATAGAGCTACAACAGTCTGAAGAAGCCATAAAGACACGTGGGATCGGCCTTTGGAGCACAGGATAAGAGAAATAAGGCGAAAATTAACCGAAGTGATTCACATATTAAAAAACAAGTAACGAGATACAATCTTTCTCTAAAAACTCCTAAGATCAGCAGCACATGCATGATCGATCGGGATCAGAGATGGACAATATCGTAAAGACGGTCAAAATTTGGAAAATAGTGCAACATACATGGCTCACCGGATTCTGGACATTGCTGTTCGGTGAAATTATGAAGAAGCAAGCCAGAACGTGGACAATTGGAAATAACATCAACCTTACGAAATCAACAAATGAAAGTTTCGAAAGATGGAGCAGTGGGAACGAGAATACCAATGATCGAAGCAAGAGTAGTTTTGCCTTGACTCACATTACGTCACGCGTACGACCTGATTGAGGAGCTCAGAGAGAATGCGAGCTGCATCCTGAGCAGGCACCTAAACATTAAAAATGATAAAGGACTCCAGAAAAGTACAGTCAATAAAAGGAACAAAAAGCTATCTTCATGTATTTCAAACATATGCAACGGCAAAGAATCAAGAAAAGATCAAAAGAGCTATTTTCATGTCTTCTAGCGCATATCCAACACCAGAAAGATGTTCTAACGGAAGAGAGAAAAAGGTCTGATTAGCAAATTTCGTCGAATTGGCAGATGATATTTATGGTAGGCATGATATGGTAGACACAGGGAGCTAACAAGTTACTGTTATTAGCTCTTATGACAAAAATGTTTGCACACTTCTCGCAAGATGGAGGATGCGCTATGAAAATGAACATGAACAGATGAAAAAGAACAGAGAGATTAGGGAGATTGTAAAATTTGAGCCAAATCTTTCTCATCAATCATTGCGGGCTAAAATACAAAAAAAAAGACTACTGAAGTACTCACAATTAGTGGAGTAGTCTGGCAAGCAGCATCTCGCATAGTTGGCGAATCAGTCCCAGTTCCAACTGAAACCATTTCTGGCGGCTCTGCAGTCGACACAGCCATATGACGTAGATTGGGTACGAGTGAATTTCCATTTGTTTCACCATTCGTCTTCGCATGATTATACATCTAAAAAATAGCATCTCATTAGCGGAGCACACGAGACTACTGTGCTACCTCTTGCTCACTATCCGGCGTATGTGAAAGGCTGCTTCCGGCGTCCAAAGGTTCAGAAGGTGGTAGACTATGTGTCATTGGAGGTTGCTGTGGTGCTTGAGGTGGAGGCATTCCGGGCATGAAATGGGCAAATCTGAAAATCAGGAGGTCTACATTGTTCACAGGGCATGACAGTACTGACCCCATGTTTATATGTCAAATTTATCACTGAAAAAAACCTTTCGAGCAACACGTAATAAAATGATTTTGAGATGAACGCTCACCTGCCGTGAACCGGGGGCGGAAAAGGTGGAGGGAGACCGGGTGGCAGCATACCGATGACGACAGGGTTCAATCGAGGGCCTAACGGACCGATAAGAGATTCCATAGATACCACTGGAAGGACAAATGGGACCTGAAAGCTGTTTCTGATTACGTTCCTCTCACGACTATGGGAGTCTAGAACAGTATGCTTTGGACACTGCTTCTCGAAGTAAGACTCGCAACCAACATTTCCGACAATTGATACAGTACATATCAAAATTTCCGGATAAGTAACAAAATTATTGAAAAAAGAGAAAACTCAGAATTAAGTAACATATAACAAACACATGTAAACCTTACCTTCCCTCCGCATACGCGGGTCCATTCTCCTAAGGTATGGAACCTTTCTTCATGCTCGGTACGGATGAGAAGAGAGTCGTTGAAGTAACCGGACTGAGTCCACATCATCATCTCCTTCGCAGCATATGGTCCTTAACATTGACTAATTGATAAAATGTGATTAATAAACAACATGCACAATATCAGAAGCTACAAGCCGGAAACTTCACCATAGATTTCGTTATCAGGTCCATGATAGTACCATCGGACCTCTATTGGCTTAGTCATCATACTAATCCTAACCACTGCTCCGAAAAAGCCTCAACCTACAGGTGAAATTTTAAAAAAATATAGAATACGATTGCGATTGTGCATCAAATAAAAAGCGACATAAACGCAAATATTAGGCAAAGATAGTTAACTAATACTTTATGTACACAAAAAATCGCGGAAAAAATGACGAGAATCTGGAATGGCACACTGATACGGGGTCATTCTGCATCATCATCAGCATCAAACCACTTCTCTTCCATGTCACGCGCACGGATGTCATCCATCTCGTCTAGAGCCACATCGTTATCGACAGTATCGTAGTCAAAAAATCTGAAAGGGACATCAATACTTTCCTTGATACGCTGAGGTGGTCTAGACAAATTTTTTGTACGCCAGGTCCCCATTCTTACCCGTACACAGTTTTTAAATACAAAGCACAAGATATTTCGAACTGAATTCGGTAAGAATCTGGAAACATTCTATTGAAATAATACTGAGAACCATACAACATTTGAGACTACGATTTAGTTTGCAGAAAAATGATAAAAAGATATGTCTCGTCAGGCAATGTCTTATAACACGATATGGCCTGTACATTTTTGCCGCACAAAGAACTTGAAGCTTTCAGTGCAAGCCCTGTAATCAAACCAGACAAAAAATTCAACTCACCTTGCATCCTGTCCTGTCAGAAACCGTTCTTGCATATAAGCTTCGAACTCTCTTCGTAAAACATCAGGGCATTCATCCATTCCATCTTCCAGCGATTCTGCCTCCTGAATCCAAGAACAAATGATACATACATATGAAATTCATGTTATATTTTCTGCATGTACAAATACAGTCACCAAACACAGTGATATGAATTGAGTATCTTTCTGAGATGTGCTCATTCTGTTCCAACTCCATTAAAGGCAGTGTCCGGGCAAAAACTCGATTTTGAGATTTTGTGCTTACCCGGGCCTATTCGCTACGCTGAATCCGAAAATGCACATTGTAGAGCGCGAAAATGGCGAAAAACGGCTCTAACACAGGAGGGAAATCAGCACGTGGGCGGAGTCCTCCCACTGCGAATTCACGTTCCCGGCTTCCAGAGCGACCTTCTCGCTTCCGGTTTCAAGTCATTCATTCGCACTTGACCGGTAGCGATGTTAGAACGGCTAGCGGAATCGAGAAAATCGCTCCGGGAGCTGGGAGCGTGAAATCGCACTGGGGAAAGCCCCGCCCACCTGCTGATTTCCCTCTGTTAGAGCCCTTTTTCGTAGTTTTCGCGCTTTCCAATGTGGATTTTCGGATTCAGCATGGCGAATAGGCCCTTATAAGCACAAAATCTCAAAATCGAGTTTTTGCCCGGACACTGCCTTTAAATGAAAGATATCTACCTCTTGACTGATTCTGTTCACTTCCTCGCGAAGTTCATCTAAACCGTCATCTTCCAGATCTTCCTCCATTTCATCCTCTTCTGGAGAAAGCATATTGCTTACATGTGCTTCCATCCGTGAGAGATGTTGCGCGCGCTGAGACTCCTAGAGAGGATCCTCACTTCGATAATCCAAGATTTGTAAAGAACGAACAAATGTTTTGGTGCAGGAACAGCATTAGTGAACAGAAACAAACCTTCTCGTCCTTCAGCCACTGTGTGTGATGTTCATTCCTTCGTTGTGCGATCTCTCGAGATGACTCAAATTGGAGCATCATGTTCGCCCAACCACCCTCAGTACATTCTTCTCGAGAAACAGATGGACGTAGATTGATCCTGTCTGCAAATCAAACATATTTTGATTAGGTTATTCGCTAAAGAGTAGTTACCGAAGACCAAAACAAGGAAGCGATGACGCAACTAACAAGCCTTATCATATTTCTGTATAGAAAAACGTACAGTTTCAACCTTTGCAAACAGTTTCGAATAAAGAGCTAAATTACGATCAGAAAACCATAGTATAATTTAAGTGTTGCGAAAAATGATAGCTATCTTAAAAATTTTTGTGGGCAAAAACCAAAAAAATTCAAGAACTGAAATTATATCCTCCCTTTGACTGAGACACCAAACCCATGGAATACAACATATCAAACATGATGTGCTAAATACACACTATCTCGCTATGCGTATGGTACACAAAACAAGAAAGAAAATTTTTTGAAATCAGGTTGCGAAATTCTTCAAATTGGCTTAGTTTGTCGTTGTACAGATGAGATATCACTATTTATCATCAAGAATGCAGAGTGAGAAAGGTGACTAATCATTTTTGACGCGGATCTTTAGCTAATTTGGCGCATTTGAGGCATTCTAAACCACACATTTTCTTCGTAGACTTGCAAATATTTACTATCTATGGGAACGGACTGAGTCACCCTAGTCAATTAGTGGGGATGTATATTTGATGTGTCTCGAAAAGCCAACTTCAATAATACTCACTTCGTTATCCATGAAATTTTTTGTGCAAGAAGTTATGAACTTAGTAACGATAGTGCATTTGATAACGATGTGTTTGAGTTGGCGGTTTCACGATGTTCGACATCTACAATGGAACATTATCTCATATAATCTGCTTCATGAGATGTTAGTATATAAAAGGCCAAGAAATACAGAAATCGGTAGCTTCACCGCTGCGACACTATTTTTGGAAAGGGCGTTATAACCACACATGAATCATCTAGGACTGCAAATTTCAAATCAGCTTTGATCTATAAAAATACGACTCATAACGAATGGCTAGGTCACTGAGTATAAACCCCGATGAAAATCCCCAGACTGATGGCAATACGGAGTGACAGACAATACAAACAGTACAGTGGCGTACCCAGGATTTCCGTTAAGGGTGGGGAATAAAAGATTTTCTGATGAAGCGTGCCGTCAGCCACGCACTCCGAAAAAATTATTGGTATGCTTCCCGAAATTTTTGCGGGCCCATAACCCCAAAGTTCAGAAGAAGGGGGCGTGCAGCTTCGTTAAAAAAAATTTTATAAGGCCAAAACTTTCAAAAATTATATTAATTATTAACAACTAAAACAAGTCGCTCGCACAATTTTAAAACTCATAAAGTAACTTTCAAAAAGTTGCACCCAATTCGGGGAGGGCCCTCCCCTCGATACGCAAAGTTCTGTTACTTCAATGGCAAAAATTCAACGCAGTAATAACACAACAAAACATTAAGAATGCAGTAAAAACATCCACTCAATCATGCAGGAGCATTCAAATTACGAATCTGCGCAAGTCAACTGCTGTAAAATGAAAGATTGAAATCTCACCTTGCTCGCTGTTATATTTTCCAACCATTACGTCGTACAAAAATGGCTCCCGTTCTCTCATTTTCTCATCGGAGAAATATTTGCCATCCTCCTTAAGTTTTTGCAGCGCAAGAAAACGCCGGGTTTTCAGCTAAATTTAAGCATTTGATGTGAATGGATAAGTTGCATAAAATCTTACTTTTTGAGCGTCAGGTTTCCGTATCTCAATTTGACTGACCATGAAAGTAATCAATGGATCAGTCTCATCTCGAAACACAGCACAATCAGCTGCATCCATGTACTGACCATACCTGCAATCTGAAAATAACAAATGCCGTTGAAAGGCTAGCTTGAGTAGACAAGAGAAAAGTGAAATTCCTAGCACCTTTGCAAAAATATGGCTTTGTTAGACTCCAACAGATCACCAAGTATCTGACGCTTCTCTTCAGTGGTCAGATCCGGTTCGTTGTTTTGCTGATGCCGGTAGAAAACATCCGGCTTACTCAGTATTCGATCGAACATAGCGTCAACCATCACAGGGTCAAAGTAATAAGGACGCAAAGTACTTCCTTGATAAACACAATCTGCAATGGAAAATAAGAAGACAGAGTTAAGTCAGAATGAAAAATGTGAACCGTGAAAAACAAGCAGCAAAATCAGCATCCAGAAATCGAAATGCGAGTGAGGTGCGCAAAAATGTGGGCGGAGATGAATGAGACGCACAATGCACGCGATTGAATCGAGCATAGCGGGCGAAGTTTGTATGTTGACGGGTTGTAGTGCCATAAGAAAAATTGTTCTAAAATCGAGTGTAAAAAGATGTGAACGTCAAGTTTGTAGTAAGGAAACAGGGCTATCCATGCATGGAAGCATCAAGCTTCAGAAGTACAGGCTCTCTCATTTCTAGTGCCAGGGGCTCCAGCGGTTCGCGCCCGCTTCGCTGAGCCTTGCACACGTTCGCGAATTAGCTCTGTCCACGCTCGCCAGCATTCAGCCACTGCTCAGGCGTGGGAATGTACCCAGGGGATCGTCCTCTAACGCTGCGCAAGGCGCGAGGCGGACGCGAGGAGCGAGCGGCTTGAGTTCTGACACTCACAATGGGATAGAGGCTCTTCTCTCTGTTTTGTGCAATCGTTTTCGTTCAAAATCTATACTTTTGTCAGTTTCCCTCGGTGGCCATAGCCCCCCCCCCCTCCTGCCCTATCACAAAGCAAAGCGGTGTACAGTCGAGGAGATTTAGCGGTAAATATAGTGTGCTTGCACAAAAGGTGAAATGCGGTAAAATTGGTGCGTGAAGAAATAGTCTCGACTGTGACGCCGGCCACTTGCGCGCGCAAGATACCCGCGGTACTGACGTGGCTACTTGTTCACCGCAAATTTCACCGCATTTCACCTTCTGTGCAAGCACACTATATTTACCGCTAAATCTACTCGACTGTAATTGATCAAGCAGCTGTTGGAATGAGAACGACCGTGCATATAAGCACCTCAAAATTCAAAACTTCCGTGCTTACCTAAACAATGCACATAACCACTTTGCCCTAATCGAGATTTTGGGGCCGATATGTCTAATGGCCATCCATCGTACGCAGAGACTGCACGTTATTGCGTCCGCTCAAAATGGCACGTGTTTGAGAAAGACAGCAGGCGATCAGAGAAAGAAGTGCATTTCTGAGAGACGCCGACGCGTCCGCAATGGCGGCCTGTCCCTACGTGCGATGAATAGTCGATATGTGCATAGGCTACTTGAAGAAGGCGCAAATAGGGGCGCGAACGTGGTTTTATTAGCGGCAAAGCGCATGAGGTGCAGGATTTACAATGATGAAGATACGCGCGCCCCTTCCTAGGATTGGCACGAGTCGGTTCCTGAAGTTTCTGGGAGGGAAGCCCCCCTGACTGAGAATTTTACAAAGTCCTACACCCTATCGGAAACCTGTCGACTTTCCGAGTCTGAAAGTCAAAATGGAGCTGAGTATTATGTATATTAGAGCTTGGCATTGAAGCGCGAAATCTGGCATAGTGATTGGTGAAGAAATCAAGGCAAAACAAAGGAAAGGCGACGATATGGAAATGTCTTCATGCTCAGGGACGATTTTTGATTGGAGAATCCGTCCATGAAAGAAAAATCCAAAACTTGTGTGAACTCACATGTATGCTCCATATGATCCCAGAACATATGGTGGCCGTCTGGAAAAGGACTAATTTTGGAAAACGTATTACTTTACATGATTTTTCAGAAGCTTTCACATAACAATTCTTCTGCAAATAATATTCCAAACGATTCTTCTGCAACTAATATTCTATGCCTACAGTCCAAATTTGGTGGCAAATGTTTGTCTCTACGTTGTAAATTGATTTCGGCTTTGCTTTCAAATAGCGCACGCATTTCATAAGACGATGAAGTATCATCTAATTATTCCATGACCAGGAGACGCGAACCGCATTGCGGACAATGTCGTAACAAGTTTGAGTTTGCTCTTCCCTGTTTCAAAAAGTGAATAAACTCGGAGGAGACATAACACGTATAAACCCGCTGAGTACACGATTAGGCTTGTCAGATATTCTGTGCAATGCGGTCTCGCGCCTCCTGCTCACAGAATGAATGATACGCATCTAATCGTTAGCGCATTCTTTAACCACAAACACCATCCGAATCTTGAAAATACTTTTTCTCACTTCTGCAAAAAAGTGATACAAGTGGGACCGGATCCGAAACAATTCCATCATTGGATCGTATGTCCTTCAATACGATTATTTGTTAAACAGAAATCCTGTCAAAAACTACGCAACTCGCTGGTATAAATCTGGACAGTTAGTGTCGTAGACGTAAAATGAGTCAAAATTAGCATTCTAATTTATAACTTCGATGAATAAAGGTTATAGTTTGTATTTCCTTTTCCGTCGCGTTTCACCATGCAGGTCGGATACTTTTCCCGTTCATCTAAATAGAGCATTTGAAGTTGGAGTTTTTCAACTCAAGATTTTTTGCATTGTCACCCACTTTGTAAATAAACCCATCTCTCATTATTTTCATGATCAAGACTTATTGGTATCTTTTAGTGCAGTGACCTGCAACTGCATTGGAAAAGATGAAATTGGCTATTGCGTAGAAATTTTGCAAGGGTGGGGGCTCGCATGAGTGGATACCTTCAATGGTAGACGGTAAGAGGAGCGCTTTCCCCGAAAGTCACTAATACAGAAACTCAGTACAAGGCTGTGCAAGCCTTTTAGAGATATCAGACAGGTGCATTAGATTATAGCTGTTTGAGCCACCGCTTGCTGAGTTTTGAAGGCCTTTGTTGGAAAATTGACCGAAATATCCACCAATCCGACTTTCGACGTTGATGTTTTTGAAGTGTTTTGAGAAAATAAGACAAAACAGCTCATTCAATTTTTCTATCTTTGCTCAGAAAATTGAAAGGTTTTATAAGGATACGTTTCTATGAATTCCCAAACTCTAATCATCTAACAAGACCACAACCTTCTCATTGATGTCGCTTAGAAACATTGAGGCCTCAAAGTTTGAAACACAGGGTTATGATTAGCGAATTAATTGGTTTTCAAATTTTACGTTTGAAACTAAGGTGAATGCAAGTTACTAGTGTTTGATCTTGAAGTCTATGCACGGGTAGTATGGATTTACCGTAAACTAGGAAACAGAAAACGTTCTATGATATTCAATTCTTTTGTTTGCCGTAAATCTATGTGTATCTATCTTCTATCTATTTCTTTCCTACTATAAACTGATAAACTGCAAAAATCCCAGGTTTTTTCGTAAAAAGAATGAAATTAAAATCACTTGGTTTTTTAAAATTCATGATTTTTAGAATTAACAAGTTTCATTCAGTTGGTTATCTCGTCTTTCGAACTACAGCAAACAGCAACTACGTGCAATGCTCAATCTCTACGCCATTGTTCACAACACCTTATAGAATATCAGAGAAAGTCATCCTTGCATTCAGCAGGAGTGGAATTATTATGCAAAACACATCGTTTATGTTCAGTCAATTTCCAAAATAAGTATGATTCCATCTAACTCTTCTGCTAATCGTCGATCATGGCAGAATCTTGGCTACTGTCAAGTCATCATACATCAGCTTCATCATTTCCTTATTCTACTTTTCGAGCGTTGATGTAATTATCTAGGGTCAGCTCAGGGATCAACCAAAGCACGCATGATTTGGCCCATTCGCCCTGTCTTCTCTCTTACTGTGGATTCTGGTTGCAAATACAGAGGTAATGTATGTGACTTACAAGGATACTTGGTGTCCGTGGCTTAAGATGCGATGTGTACCATTACACTCGTCTTGGAACGCTGATTCCGAATCTGACTTCTTCTGTTAATCGTTTTTTTAAAGAAATTATGAAGGGTTTTCGCGTCAATGCTCGCCCAAAAGAAATACGGTTGACGACGCCTAACTTTCAAAAAGAAGCTTGTTTGACGCAAAGCTGAAAAACACATAAGGACTTGAACCGTAACTTGCGTTAACTTGTGAGGCTATAACACTAGTTACTGTAACACATCGTAGCGACGGTTTAGGCATTCCGACCACATTTCCCTTGGCGCGAAAACCCTTCAATATTTTTTTCGGAGAAACGATTAGCGGAAACCAAAGTCAGATTCGGAATCAGCGCTCCAAGATGAGTGTAATGGTATACATCTCATCTCAAAAGGATATGGACACCAAGTATCGTTCACTTGTTAGTTAGACATTCCAAAAGTAATGCCTTATAAAATGTGGCCGCTAGGGTGAGCTCAGTGATTGAATCAAGGTACGCATGGTCTGGCCCATTCGCTTTGACTCAGCCTTTCATATCAAATTCTGGTAGAAACAGAAATCGAGATAAACTGTGTGTTTATCCTTGGCTGCATAATCTTAGTACAGCAGCGAAATTCGAAGTCAGTAGAGCTAGTCATTTTTGGTTGCTGTAATTCCAGTATCGTGTCGTGTTAAAGTGGTAGTATTAGACTGACTTGCAAGCCTGAGTGTGGCCGTTGTTTGAGAACATTATTCTTTATATAGTAACCAGTGCTTCATCTCTGCTTCGCAGAGGCTCGCACTGGCCCTACTATCTGTATGCCTTACTCATTCTCGTACAATAATGACATTGGAACTCACCGCGCTATGCGGACTATCACGAATGATTTGTAAACAACTATCCATTCCGAAAGCTTTTCCATATGAGATCGGTAATTTCGCATGAACGAAACCTCTCTCGAAAGAACAAATGCAAATTTGAATCGGTTTTTGGACTTTTCATGGCTTGATATTCGCGATAAGATGCCATAAACACTGTGGGCTACATGGCACCGTTTTTGCAAAGTAATAAACTTTAGTTCAATTTTTCAGGCTAAAGACCACGGCTTGCACATTAACTTGTCAAAAATATCCGTGAATTTGCAAAAAGTTGCGCTACAGACTCAATTTTACTGGCCAAAAGCCAAGTGGATCCGGTTGACGCGCATCTTTTGAGGGATCCATACAATGGATCCGCTCGTGCTTTTGTATAGTAGACTCTCATGTTGGTAGCAGGCGCTGCGCAAAATTTGGGCTCCGGACGGTGGCTGGAACACGTTCTACGAATTTCGTAACAGACAGACAAACCTACACACACACACACACACACACACACACACACACACACACACACACACACACACACACACACACACACACACACACACACACACACACACACACACACACACACACACACACACACACACACACACACACACACACACACACACACACACACACACACACACACACACACACACACACACACACACACACACACACACACACACACACACACACACACACACACACACACACACACACACACACACACACACACACACACACACACACACACACACACACACACACACACACACACACACACACACACACACACACACACACACACACACACACACACACACACACACACACACACACACACACACACACACACACACACACACACACACACACACACACACACACACACACACACACACACACACACACACACACACACACACACACACACACACACACACACACACACACACACACACACACACACACACACACACACACACACACACACACACACACACACACACACACACACACACACACACACACACACACACACACACACACACACACACACACACACACACACACACACACACACACACACACACACACACACACACACACACACACACACACACACACACACACACACACACACACACACACACACACACACACACACACACACACACACACACACACACACACACACACACACACACACACACACACACACACACACACACACACACACACACACACACACACACACACACACACACACACACACACACACACACACACACAAACAAAACACGTAAACATCCTTAGATTGATTTGAGCCTTCTGCCTTATTCATAGTCTTTCTTCTTTTCCTTTGTATGAATATTATAGTGTATCTGACTTGTAATGGGTGCACCTCGCGTTCAATAAATCTAATATGATACAAATATACTATTCGTATCAAGCTCTTAATGGCAATCATTTCCATACCTAACACTAATGAATTTTCTAAAATATGCTTCCACTTCTACTCAATACATTTCATTGAATTATATTGGAGTGTGAATTTATTCCTCGCGATGTGAAACACAATTTTTACCCTGCGCACTCGAAAATGGAACATTATTTAGTATTCTTCAAATATTCACATGCTGCCCTAATTTTTGTCATAAAATCCAATGGTTCCGACTGTGAAAACTGAATCAGGCAATTCAAACTCGTATGCAGCAAATAACGATGATACGTACAGTCATAGTGTTCTTGAACATTTTTCACATTTGTAGCCAGTCTTTGTTGCTTTCTGGAGCGCTCCGATAATGGCATTTTCTGGCAGATTTCCTTATCCAGATCGTCGAATATCGAGGGATTTAATAAATATTAATATAATAATAATATTGCGTTTGGGAGACGTTAAATTTGAGAGACGTCTTTTTGCTAATGGGATATGATGGAACAAGATCTTTGATGTGCAGCATATCTGACATTCAATTCATTCGCATCCAATCCTCCATTGATTCATTGAGACTGAGGGGGTTCAAAAAGACCT